TGCTAGTTTTTTTATGAAATCCTTGAAATGGAAACAAAATGGTGAGATCTAGAACAGATGTAGTTTGTATAAGGATCTAATGCTGCCTTTTTTGTTGTTTATTTTCTGACCTAGGATTTTTAAACCTTTTTTTAAATTTTTTTTTTTTTTTTTTTTTTAAACTGGAAGGAAAATCAGTTTAGTCTTTCATGAGGATGCTGAAAAGTTTGTGTCTTTTTGCACATGTGAGAGTATTGGAAGGTAGCTTTTGAAACTGCAAGATGCACAGAAGACAAAGGAGTTTCAGTAACAGAGAAAGACAAAGCAAGCAAACAGCGACTGGGACCCTGCAATCTTTTGCAGTGTACATATATGTATGAGAAAATAGCCTGTTTTCCAAAAAAATGAGCATAAAACTCAGTTTCATGCACAAAGATCTGAATTACCCCCAAACAAACTAGCTTAGGCATGAGAAACAGTACAGTCACATTAGCCTGTTATTGCTCTGATGCTTTCTTTTGGCCAAACGGAGCCAGGTAGCATGCCATGTTAACACAGCTTGTTTGCTTCTGGTATTCAGGTGACTTTGTCTTCCTGGGATATTTCCAGAGGGCACTGGGGTTTTTTTGTGCTTTGTGCAGGCACCACCTTTGCAGTACAAAAATACAAAGGCTGTAGAAGGCGAGGGAATAAGAAAAGAGTGATCTGAGCTGACCTGTGTAATGTTATAGAGTATGTTAGTAGCAAAGCAAAAATGTTGAATGTAGGAATGAACAAATCAATTGCAACATTGCTGTTTCAAGTCTATAACAAAGTCTGTCAGCTCATGATTCCTCACCAGTCTTTCAGATCACTTGCAATACCTGGTTTGCTAAAGTGCACTTGACAGTTGGTGTGGAGGTGGACACAGGCTACCTGGCCAGCCTGGTGATGTTACCGTCCTCCTCCCAGCTCCCAGCTGTGGAGTGCAATGTCCCTGCTTTCTTTCAGGAACTTTGTAAGAGCACCTGTGTTATACCTGCTAAAACTGAGGATGATCACATCCTAAGGGCTGCCAACATGCTAACTTGGTCTGCAGGGCAATGCAATACAAACAAGGGTCTGTCTACAACACCTACTTAACTTTAACAGGACCAAGTACCCTTTCCTTAGTCCTTTAATCCTTTAATCTTTCAGACTGAAGTCTGAGTGATTATTGTGAACTTCTATGTATGTTTGACTTCTGCTTTAAACCTGGAGAAGAGCTGGTGTGCTTGGACGCTTGTTTAGATTTTTCAACAGTTCTGATTATTCTAGTGGAAGATACGCTCTTGGTCTACAAAACTCTCCTTGCTTACTGCTGCTAATTGTCATTATGTAAATGCTAAATGAGTTTACTGTTCTTAATCATCCATTTGCTGGAATACAAATATTTTAATAGCTGAAATGATGTTTCCAGGAAAGGGTTATCAACGTTTTGTTAAGCTATAATATCCCTGAATCAGAGACTGTGCCTCTGGTTGTGTTCGTTTAGTAGATGGCAGAAGAAAGATTCATCTAGCACAGGATCATTTGTTATCCTTGTGTTGGCAGCAATCATAGAATCAAAGAATGGTTTGGGTTGGAAAGAATCTTTAAAGGTTATCTAGTCCAACTCCCCTGCAATGAGCAGGGACACTCATAGCAAGGCTACTAACCCAAGGTGGTGTCAAAGGGTCTTGTACTATGGTCTTATACTAAGATGCTCCTTTTATTTAAGAAAAGAACTATGATCTTTCAGATACACAGATGAAAGGAATAGAATTGAATTCACAGTTCACATTATTCATATGTGGGTTTCAATCTTTATTACTAAGAAGTAGATTGCACAATACTCTGTGATTTCCATGTTCCTTTGCTTACAAAGCTTCTTGCAAACTCTTCATTATTGTCAACACTGTGGGAGTTGTTACTAACTGAGAAATCATTAACAATTCTGACCAGATTGGTGCCAACCTCCCTTGTCAACTCAGTGTTGGTTCACAACCCAAGTGTTCCCCAAAGGTAAGATCCAGTAGCCATAACAATAAACACATGCCAAAGAGATCTATACAAAGCACGGCTACTTAAAAGAAGTATCCCAGCTTTTGCTCAAGAGCTCCATGATTTAAGCGTATAGCAGGGTCTGATGTTCCCCTTTTGCCACCACTTTTACCTCCTGAGATCATCTTTATAATATACAGCTCTGTTAGGACAAGCATCTCTTCACTTCTGTCTGTAGAACTGAATTAAGTCTATATATGGAAAATGGAATAATATGTTGAAACCAATATTGTGGCCTGGAGCATAGAGCTTGTGCAGTTTGAAATGGGAATGCCAAGTCTAAATTTTCTGAGGGAACAAGAAATATCTTTCTCACTCTTTACCAGGAGGATGTTTGGCAACAACTTGAGATTTTATGTGGACTGGTGCATTGCATTGGCAAAAAATGACCTTATTTTTGAAGATGAGTGTTATAATCCTTGTGGATGTGTAAGCTGGGGCCAGGACTAGTGTCATAGACATGATCAACTGAATCAAAAGGAGGAAAACTATACATAGTGCTGTTTTGACCTTTGGGGAATTTTAGCAATTTATTATCATTGCCCTCTGGATATCAGTCAGCATTCACTAAGAAAACTTATCAGAATATGTTCCTTTTGGGCCACAGAAAGTCAAGTGTGGGTTTCAGCTTAGTACTTTCAGTAAAATAAAAAAGCTGTATTAAAAGAGATTATATTCCTCCCTTTCTCCATTCACATTGTCATGCCTTTGTGTTCATTGTTGCCATTCAAATTTTTAGTCTTGGTCCCTACATCCTCACTGGAACTATTACAACTCATAAAAAGCCATGATGGTTTTCAGATGTCTGATGCTATGGTTTTCATCACCTCAACCCTCAAAGGTTTATTCAGCTTCATTTTCATAATTACACAGCACCGTGTGAAAACTTGCCTTTTCTTCTGCAGGTCGGTCTGGGAAATTCATTTACTGACAGGATCTGAATTGCTGTTGAAATGTCATGCGACTTCATGTTCTTAGATGTGGATTTCAATTCCTGACTTTGCTGCCAGAACCACTGAGTGCTGATTTTTATGGTGCAGTGTTCCTTTGTTATATCACTGTGAAGTTGTAACAGACAGATGATGAATATGCTTTAGAAATGACCTTTTGCTTAAAGGAAAAAAAAGACAGTGCTGTGCATGAATGTGTTACGATAGTTGTGTACAAGGACTACTGCAGAGTAGGGGATGGTATGTGTTTTACAAAAGGTAGGGAGAAAATGAGGGCTATTCTGTAACAGCGTGAATGGTCGGTACTGCAAGCTTGGAAGAAATAACATTTCAGACGCTGGTACAGACCTTCCTTATAGAAGTATGTCAGGATGCCTGGCAGAGCAACATGATTAATTTGCATGGGTAGATTGCACTGAGGTTGCGCAACAGGTTGATGTCCACTAGTAAGATCATGGAAATAAAGAAGGATGGCTTCTAGTACACATCCTTGCTGATAGATACTTGATCCTTCTAATACAGATCCTTGCTGATCACCACAAGCATTCCATGACTCTGCTTTCAGTATCACAAATGCAAATGTTTCCCTGTTTGGGTTCTTCTATTTATTTATGATATGTGTACCATAAGTATGTATGGTATGTGTATTTATGGTATGATTTATCACAGATTAAGTAGTGGCAACTCAGTCCTGTGATACACGTAATTAGCTTTCATTCATATGTAGTAAGTCTGCTTACTGTAGTTTGCATATCTACCTTTATTGTAACATAAACATCACCTTTAGCTGTGACATCAAAAGATAATTTCTAGGAAAAGCCCTCTGATCTTGGCTGCTAATTTTGCTAAAGCTTGAGCCTGTCTTTCTGAGGTACTGAGAGCTCAAAGATAGAAGCAGTCAGAGAAATGCGGCACCTGAGAAAATTACAGCCAGAATGTTTCAAGCTGAGCCACAAATGAATGGGGAAGTAAAATTTAAAACCCTCTCCAGTAAGGCTAGCTCTGGGGAAGTCTAAAATTGCTCCTTCTGTTCTTTACTTCCTTATGATTATTTCCCGATCTCCTTCACTAATTTTTCAGATTATACTGTATGCTGGCATGCTTTATTCAAAGTAATTCTTCCTTCTTTTCTATTATTTCATCAGTTTCATTTTAAATGTTGTCCCTGGTTTTTGTTTTTTGCTTTTTAGTTATGTTGATCTGTATACAAAAGTACAAACAATAGTTTGGTTATTACTGGAACAGGAAGATACTCACTCTAAAACTGGACTTTCTCCTTCTGCATTATTTCAGAACAGTTGGTTTACTGTCAGTAATAGAAGGTACTTTGTACATGTCAGGCACTGCCATGTGCAAAGTGAAAGAATTAGCAGCAGTAATTGTTTATACCTAATCCATTCTGAAGCGAACTTTAATTTACCTACTCTGAGATTTCCAGTACCTCACACTGAGTTCCAGGCATCTGCTGGTCTTGAGGTTAAAGAACTTGGACAATAAGTATCCTCAAAAACGTATGCAAAGTAGAGTTGAAACAAAATTGGGGTTAGCGATCCTGTAAACTAGATCAGGTGTCAGTGCAGACAGTTAAAAAAGTCTGCTTGTGCATGTTTATGAAGCTCTCCCACATGTGAGAAGCCAACTGCAATTGATTTTTATTATTCAGGGGTAGAGTTTCAATGTGAAGTTGCTGTAAAAATGCTGTCTCATCAGGCTATTTAAGACTGCCTGCAAGCTACAGATCCTGAAAGCCTTATGGGTGAAGTTGTGGAAATGCTTTATTTCTCTTCATTGCCACAGGTCAGTGGTTTGTATTCCATGTGTGTGCACAGGTGGTTTTAATCAGGATTTTCCTTGTTTCTAGTGGTAGCCTTATGTCTGTTTTTAGTTTTGCTGATATTTAGCTGCGATGGGTTTTGAAGGCTAGCATGGCTCTAATCCACCTCAGCAGGAGAAGGTGGTTGTTGCAAGTTCTGATGCAATACTACTTTTGTTTCAGATCCACCTGAGAAAATGTTGCAGATCCTACCAATGCTGCTGCTGGAAACACAGCTCTCCATGGTTTCAGGTGAGAGCGAAACTGCCTTTCAATTCCACCAGCAGAACCAATGCAGCAAATACCACCACGCCCGCAGTGCGTGGGCTTCAGCACCTCCAGTGCCAGTTGCACCAATAGCCAGTGACGTCTGGAGCCACTGCTTTGCAACATCTCACAGAAGGCACTGTGTACGAATTGAGCACAGGACAGATGCCTGTCACTTTCCGCAGCCAGGCTTCTTTAAAGCATAGTGTATTGTAAGTTGAGGCGTCCAGCATCATCAGGCACAGCTACAAGAGGGAGGGTGACCAAAGCAACCTAAGCCAATTGTAAAGTAGAGCAACCTCAGTTGCATATAGAGGCAGAGTGAAGTAAAAACACACGTATTACCTGCCCACGCCTGTAGCAGGAGCAGCTTGGCCAAAACCCAGAAGGGAGGGGCTTAGCAATTTCTCATATTATTTTGTCCCTCATCACGGTTGTATTAAAGTGAATAAACAAACATTGCTAAAAGGAATTGAAGCCTTCCCTGTAAGTATTTCACAAACATATGAAATAAAAGGGATGCATAAACAGTTGCCTGAACTTCTCTTTTGAATGTCACTATGAATACTTCCAAGTGCTTCTGAACTAAATCTACCAATATATGGTACATCCAATATAGAAAGTAGTAAGAAGGTATGTTGAATGATGTATCATAAATAACTCTCCTTTATGAATTACACTTCAAAATGGTAAACTTTTCAAAACAGTATGAATTTCAGATTTGGTGAATGGCTAAAAAGATTAGTTTGATATACTTTCTGTAACAACTGCTGCATGTATCTGAAAAGATGCATTGGATCAAATGATACTCACATGGTCCCAGGCTTGTGGAAGATTGTAATTGCTACATAGCAATTCTTCCATGTTACACCTGCTTATCCAATGCAGCTCTGTTTCACAGGGGTTACACTGGATTTTCTCTTTGTGAAGGATGATGAAATTAGATTTACTGTTTCCACAATTAACTGTTGCTTTTACTAGAATCTTAGGACATATATGTCCTAAGCTTCCTAGTTTCATAGAAGTGCTCCCTGTGTATTCACTGACTCAGCCTTAAGTTATTTCTAAAATGTAAAAAAAACCCTTGCTTGTTTTGTCCTTGTCTTTCAGACTCCGTAATCTATACAGAATATATATGATTCACTATAAATTACGACTGACATAGTAAAAATGTTAGTGTGAGTAGGAAAAAAAATGTGTAAAACTTTTAGTCAAACCAGTAACTATATGGCTGACTACGTGACACCTTTTCGCACAAATGTAAGGAAAATCAGAGCGTATTTTAATACAAAAAATGAAACTGTTTTCTTTTCCTGCTGTAGCTTTATTTACAGTTGAAGTTCCCCAACAGCTGTACATTGTGGAGTATGGTAGCAATGTGACCATGGAATGCAGATTCCCTGTGAACGGCTCATTAAACCTAGGACTCCTGACTGTTGTTTGGGAGCAAAAAAGGCAGGGCCAGTCGAAATCAAAAGAGGTGTACACGCTCCGCAATGGGAAGGCTTTCTCTCTATCCCAACATCATGATTACATAGGAAGAGCAACACTTCTGCACAGTGAACTGAAATTGGGACGAGCTCTCCTTCAGATCACCAGCGTGAAGATCACAGATGCGGGATCATACCTTTGTCTCATTGACTACCAGGGCGTGGACTACAAGTACATTACTTTGGAAGTAAAAGGTTAGTGGCCGAGTTGAATGTAAGTATACATTCATTGAGATGTCTCTACTAAATTCCTACAGGCTTGTAGAAATTGAGTAATTTGGAGGAATTTGTTGCTAATTCTCTCACCAGGACCCGGTGCTCAGCCTCCAGGTGAACCAAAGCGGTTGCCTTGGTGCTGGCTGGTCTTTGCTTCAACAGCCAGCTGAGCTTCTCCAGGAGCAGCCTGTGCCAGAGAGGGAGAGCAAATGCTCCCCCTCTGCCCGTCATCCCTCTTCCTTCTTCCCACACCCTCTTCTGCAGTGCCCCCACCTCTCATTTGACCCCCTGCCCTGTTGGGCCACCTCTGGCCATTCCCAAAAGTTTCCCAGAGGCGCTTTAATTTACTTAGTAGCCTTGCTGCAAAGACCCAAGTGGCTGGGAATTCTCCAAGTGATGGCAGCTGTCAGAGCAAAGAAGCCTGATTTTTCTGTGTTCATCGAAGCCAAATGGACATTAGTAATAAAGGCATACGTTACTGGATAGCATGATAAATCAGTTCTTTGAAAGGCCTCTGGTGTTTCCCACTAACTGCAGTATGTCTGTGTGATATAAGGCAGCATTCATTTCCAACCTAGGCATTTAAATAACAAGCTTTGTCAAATACAAAAATAGATACAGCCATTTTTAAGACCCACATTGGTTCCTCTGAACTGTCCTTAGAGAAATTCTAAGTTCATTTTGTTCTAATATGATGATATCACACTTGTTTATAAGCTGTGATAAAACAAACATTAAAAACAACATATTTCTTGAAGCAGCATATTCAAAAAGTGAAAATAGAGTCCCATGAGACTTCACTTGTTTCCTCTGTATTGATAGATTATAAATTCAGCGTCAACTGCTGCCTTGTATAAAGTAGCGGAGTAAGTTCTGTCAGTGTAGGCATGAGAAGATTGAGAAATGAATATTGAATTGTTCGACAAAACACTTTTCATTATTTCAAATAAGTGTACCTCAGGTACAGCCATAGACAAAATATGGCATTAAAGAGAAGAAGGGAAGGTGAAGTGGGAAGATTACTATTGTTGCATAAACTAATTTCACTCAACTTCTTCTTATGCAGCATCTTACAAAAGAATAAACACACAAGTAATGAGAAAACCAGGTGAAGACAAGTTTGTTTTTATGTGCCAGTCAGAAGGCTTTCCTTTGGCAGAGGTTTTCTGGCAAAATGAGAAGAACTTCAATCTCAGTGGATCTGCAAATACTACCTATACGCTGACCACAGATGGTCTTTACAATGTCACCAGCATCCTGACGTTCAAACCAAGTATGAGTGAGAACTACAGCTGCGTGTTCTGGAATAAAGAACTGAATGGAGAAACTTCAGCTCACATTTCCATTTTAGGTTTGTATCACCTTGGACTTGCACAAGACAGAGAGTATTTCTACACACATCATGTCCTATGATCCATCACTGGAATTTGGTTCTAGAAAACAGTGTAATATTGGTGCTCTGGAAAAGAAACAAGTCAGCATTATTTATGACTTTGAAGCCTCAGCTAGCTTGCAGTCCAACAAACCAGTCTGCCATTTTTCTGTATATTTTAGTTTCAGGATAGCTCCCATTATTTGGCTGCCAGTACAGAGGAAATTCTTTAATCTGCAGGGGTGTCTTCCCTGACCTGGACTTCTAATTAATTGTTCTTCAGATGGGATACAGATAAAGTGCAGTAGTGCTTACTCAAATGCCATACAAATGAGAGATTTGACTCATTTTTTGTAAAGCTTCTTATAGTAATATTGCAGAATATTCATAAAATAAGTGTAAAACACTGTGCCGATACATTTTAAGAATCTTTTGTTCAGTCAGAGCAAGACTTTGGAGAATCAGAACTGATAACGTCATAAATGATGCCTGTTTTGTAAGTTATAAATTTACTTTCTTTTCATGTTTTTGACAGCTTTAATGAGTACACAGTATAGTGGACAAAAATCCCCGATCTTATTTATTGTCCCCACATGTGTGATGGTAGCTGTCCTTCCCTCTGCACTAATAATCTTTAAAAAGAGAAAATCACTCAAGAATGGGCAACCCAGAAGAGGTACATTTTACTTCAGATAGTGTATCTTTTCACTTATTCTTTATTTCTTCTGTGAGTGAGCTTTTGGAAATTTTAGTGACTCTAAGCATGCTTGTGTGACTTTGGTCACATTTTATTTCTAGATGAGCTCTGTTCTAAAATGAAATCTTGGATTTCATTTTGAGTTGGGTTTTATTTTCCTCACCTTGTTACTTACATGAGACCAGGTATAGGGGAAGATACATTTATTTATCTGACCAGCTGCTATTCTGTAAAGAACACAAACAAGCTTTGGCTTGGGTAAGGAGGGATGTAAAAACATAGTTTGAATAGTGTTTTTCTTCATGGCTAAAGACAGTGTAGCTATGGCTTATGACACAGAATTTTTATTTTTTATCTCTATTAAGGCTCTATAACTAACATGGTATGCTGTACTGGACTATTACAAATAGTGTTTCTTTCTTTGTTTGTAAGTGCAACAGTGGAAAAGTAATAAAGCAAACAGGCTATTATTCTTGTCTTTTCTTGCCTATGAATAGACTCCAGTAAACTCAGACAAATGTATTTATTTTCATGAAATTAAAGTCTTGCTATTAAGGACTTCAGAATTTTGTTCAAAATTTGTAAAAGAAAAGTGTAGAGAAGTTTATTAATTTGATATGAGTTAATAATAAACTTAAAGCTCAGTTTAATCTAAAAGTTTGTTGAATTGTATTGCTTCTTTCAAATCTAGAAATGCTTAAGCTAAATTTGTATATATTTACTTTAACAGAGAGGAAAAGAAAACTGAACCCTAACCTGAAAGATGAGAACAGTAAGTCATAGGGTTTTCTATATTTATGCTTACAGCTTTTTCTTGCTTACAGCTAAAGTCTTTATAAATCTGTAGATGGCAACTATAATAATGTTACATCAAAATAGATGCTAGTTTTGAATTTAAATTCAACTTTTCTTCAATTTTCTAAAAATGCAGTATCTAACATTATGACTTTCTCACAGGCGATGTAAAAATTTATAAATGTTTGTTCCCTTTTACTGAGATACAGATAGCTTGCATATATAGCTTGGTATACATCTCTGCATACTAACTAGCAGCCTCAACTGAGTAGGATACACACAGAAAGCTGGTTGTTCTGGAAGGCATCAAGATTTTTGTGGCAATAGTCTGCTCAGGCCACAGGTTTTAACAACAAATACAATAATACCTCATTTATCTGGAATATTAGATCATCCACTGAGCCACTGCTCATCTTATGAGTATGTGACTTTTCTAGACATCCTGGAATTTTCACATTGCAGAGGGAAGGTAATGCCTAAAAAAGTATCAGGATGCATATAACTGTCCTGTACTAAAATTGAACTGAAAAAAAGAAATCATCATAGAAAACTATGAAGAAATATGATGAGAAAGCTCTTGAAACACCTACTTATATAAATCAGTTTTGTCACCTATAAATAAAAGTCAGATAGGTTAATGTATTGTCAGGAGAGAGGCTGTGGCCAGTGTTAGGTACCATGGTATTGGGTTCAGCTGTATTTCCTTGGTGTCCAAGCAGACCCTAACACAGCCTATTGAGGCTAGCCCCGAGGCTGCCTAATGTGCTCCAGGAATATGAATGATTCTCACCCAAGGAGCAAAACTGAAGCAAAACTGTGATGCAGTTGACCAAGTGGCCTGAAGAAACAATACGTAGCAGTTTCTGGATGCATAGGCAGCTTTGGGCTTTCCCAAGGACAAGATTTACTTGAGAAGCCACCCATATTTCTCACTGCTAAAAAATGATCTATCAGGAAGTCACCAGCTTAAAAAAACTTTCGTAGGTGAAATGAAAACTAGGGATTGGACAGATAGGGCATGAATTCACTGATTCCCATGCCACCTTAGACTGTAGTGCTTGCATCTTACCCATAGCTGTCCAATTCATTGCTATTGGTAGATACTACAGTCAAAATGACACTTTCAGAAAAACACTTTCACCTTCAGAAATCAGCACTTGCTGTAGTCAAAGGCCCCTTCTTATTTTTCACGTGATAGTGTGAAACTTCAGTGGAATTATGCCATGTGCAAATGAACAGAAGCCCAAGGTAAGCAGCAATCTGGAGGACAGCGTTGGTGCATGCCTGGACACAATTCCAGTGCAAGTTGTCTGAGTGCAGCGTGGCTTCCCATGGCTTGGTGTATTACTGCTGTAGATTTTTTTCACTTTGTAGGCCCTAGCCTTGTCTGTGCACTTACTGAAATGAAGAAATTAAAGGAGAGGTAGCTGCTTTTTGTGGTTTTCTTTTACTTCTTCATTTTAATGACTGAAAATCTTTGTGCAGCGTGCAGTAAGTCATATGACAAACATTTATATTTCTGCGCATCATATATTTTTAAGCAACACTGGAAAGAACCTTTTTTCCATGATGAGTAGGTAGTTGAAGCATGAAAGCCACAGATAACTTTACCAGAGATCCTTGGAAATGACCCATACGGCCCTGGTTACAGGAACAAGGATTGTTCATGTTATCATGTTAACTTACAGCTCAAGCTGTATCAGCACTGAAGATGTAGGACATTTGACCTCATTGCTGAAGTCCCAGTTCTGCAAACTTTTATTCAGATGCACAGATTTTACTGACAAGCATTCCTGTGGATGCTATCTAACCAGATTTCAGTTCTGTTATTTCATTTATGTGGCTGATAGTCAGTGATAGCTTTGATGTAATAGAAAATTCAGAATTTGGACCACAGATGAGAGAGAGAGAGAGAGAGAACTCTTCCCTCTGAAAAAAATTGCAACAGGATGTCTCTGTAATTAACGGCAGCTTTAAGGAGCCATTGTAACTTCAGCATGGCCCAGAAAAGCTTTCATACAATGAAGATAGGGCTTTCACTCTTTTACCACTCAGTTGTTAAAATCAGGGTATTTATTTGCTTAAATTATTGCAGATTTTTAAAATAATACTATTCAATTTTCTTTCTTTAAGGAGATGATTTTAACTCTCAAACTGAGGCTTTATACTTGTCGACTGTCACAGCTTCAAGAGACAGTGGGAGTGTGGGTCTGTGAAAAGTATTCATCTCCCATGCCATAATTTGCACATTTTGTATGTGTTTTTGGGGACTTCAAAGAAAAGTTGCAGCACTTTAGCTTTGGGATGAACAGTGAACTCATGGGGATTTATTGGCACTGCAGCAATGGAAAGCTATGCCTCTTCAGAAACCATATCTTGAAGTTACTGAGAATTATGCTGTCATGAAATGTGGTTTACCATTGTGAAGAGGTTATCTGAGTGCCTTTGATACACTTTACTTCTGGACTTACTCAAGAAATTTTTGTTTAAGAATGCCTTTATTAACTGTTCCAGTCTCAGGAATGGTGCTTGGATTCAAACATCTTGTGGGAATTTGAATGAAAGCTGCATACGCTATCTTATGTCTAAACAGTCATCTTTCAGGTGGAGACATCATTACATGCCTGTATCTCATTTCCAAGCTTTCCAACACATTAAACTGGAAATTACCATGAGTACCCACCAGCATGGCAATATATGGAAGATATTTCATATAACAAAATCAATAAGAGGTTGAAGTTAAATCAACTCAACAAAGACAAAAACAAAACCCCAACACCAACAGTAAATCAACATTATATCACAGAAGAGAATTTTTATGCACAGTCTATGTAAAACTGCATAAGTAAGTCAGGTAAAAAAAAAATGACCTGTGATGCTATACTGGGTGACATTAAGAACTTTTACATTTAAACTGATTACTCAACAGAATTTTCTTTAGGAGGAATTTGGAAGCAAAAGTGAAAATGAAGCTCAGCCAGATTTCTTCACTGATTATTTTTAAACTGTAACTTTGACTTTTCTCAAAGGAAAAAAAATGAGTCTTTTCCATGCCAGGCACTTATCTGTTTTACTTTCTGTTACTGGAATGCCTAAAAATGCCTCATTCAACTCTGAATACAGTTTGTGCTTGGTGTAGCTTCTACCATGCCAGTTTTGAAAAAAACACCCAGCAGTAAACAGCTTTGCATCTTAGTCATCAGATAGTGAAGCAAGGGCACTGGATAGGATTTGTCATATTATTTTCAAAGAGCATTGGCTCTGGTGAGCTGTGTTTTCTCCTAAGATACACATAAACAAGATTGAAGAAAAGTGTTCACATGGAAACTACTTTTATCATTACTGTGCTCTTGAAAGAGTACTATCTGTTTCACAAAAATAATTGCATCAGTAATGTTAAGGTTTTCTTCATAGCACTTGCTCTGGATTTAGATGGGAGCTGCTTCTCCAGTGTCACTTTGCAGCTATTTGCACCAGCACGAAGTGGACCTACAGTGCTGCTATGAGATCGGAAAGACAGCATTCACACCCTCTTCTGTTTCACCAGGACAGCTGATTTTAAATAGCAGGGCTGCTGTTGATTTTACCTGTGGAAGAGAAAAATGAATCTCTCTCTGTTATCACCTCTACTTTAATACCTAAGTATTGTACCTTTAAATACTCATTTGTAGCCATTGGATTCAGCTGAGACAAATCTGCACTAGGCTTGCTATGTCCTTGCTGACATGGCAGATCAAGTAGATGTCAGAGAATCAGAGGCAGCTTCTTGAAGCATTGCTTAGCTTCAGATGCAATAGCAGCTTGGGGATTGACCTGGCTTGCACCATCTAGCAATAGTTTAGGGTCAGTGCATAAGGTCATGCAATTTCTCCCCATACCAGATTTGTACTCCACTGGGAACTATGAGTCCCTTATGTCAGCCACGGTGAAAAATCTAACCTGCTGTGTTCCTGAAAGGACTTCATTTTGCATTTTTCTGTTTCTTTCTTCCTCATAATCATAAAATGGAAGTAATTCAAACTGATTTTATGTGGATGAACACAAATAGTACATCGCAGCCTTTGAAATTAGATTATGGTGATTATCATTGTTCCTTACTGAAATGAAAGTCATCCTGACATTATCTTATGCTGCTGAGTAAATGTTGCCTTGGTGTGGGCAGGAAAGAACACATGTGGGCAGCACTTCCCGCTCATTTTACAGGCATAGCAAACACTGCGCTGCTTTCCCTCTTAATGGGCTGTACACTGAAAAACTTCACCTGGCATCCCCAGGCAGAGGCAGCTCAGCTTGCACAACAATCCTATGCCCTATCCACTCCCTTTTATATGAAGGGGGCAATAGTCCTATTTACTGTCATAACCGTAAGAATACCCAGAAATGTATCTTGGTTTACAAGTTTCTATTTTTATCAACTCTCACTGGATACTTATAACCTGCAATCAAAATAAATCAGGATGATTGTCACATCTTAGTGTGTGAAAGTTAGCTTGTCAGCAGCTTGGCCAGTCTATATGTGTCTATGAATTCATGCGTGAGTTGTTTTTTACTGCAAACCACTGAGCATATGATACGTGTGTGATACAATGAGTCTCTGTTCTTTCTGCTTCATCTACTGTTTTACACGCTGTTATCTTGGAACAGCTGAAGTAAGAGTTTTCAGATACAGATAAACTGCCTGAAAAATGTTTGAAGAGTTTGGGTTTGGGTTTTGGGTTTTTTTTTTTTAATAATTTTGGAGTTTACAGTGAGTCAATATTATTAGACCAAGAAATATTCAATATTTTTAGATGTAATATAAAGATAAGTTTGTAGGGATTGACTTTAAAACTTACTGACACTCTCAACTGGCATTTTAGAGTGGCATAGTGGATACATTGCATAGGAAGCTTCCATTATCTTTTCTGATATGTACCTCCTCTATTCAGCTCCATATGTTTGTCCAAACTAGGAGCAATAGCATGTTAATGTACTGTATAAAGGTATGGGATTCAGTTAAAGTTGGAATGTTTGTATGAACAGATGTGCAAAGAATCTGCTCACTGATTTATAGTCATCAAAAACATAGTTCACTGAATTTTAATGATGACCATTTTTCACAGGCATGTGTAAAAAAAATAGGTTTAAGTATTTAATTCTTCTTGTCTGGCTAAGGAACACTACTTTTGTAATCCTCTGTCCTGCTTTACTGTGAGTGAGATATTTGCCATTTTAGTACAGGAGCAATTGGCAAGTTGGGTGACGAGTCTTCCTGCTCATTCCTCACCTCTGCTATTTACCATAGATTTTAAGGGCTTGCAGTAGGTTTATCTGGGCTTTTCTACCACAGCAACATTTTTAGTATCTGTGAGTTGCAGTTTGCTCTGTGATTAGGAGCACAGAGGAGAGGAAGATTACCTCTGTTTTGTACCATATTCACTTTCATACTGGCAACAGCCTAAACCCACTCAATTACTTAATTTCCACTAGCGCAGACGTGGTGGAAAGCAACAGTTAATATCAAGAATGTTAGTATCTTTGGAAAAAGACTGAATTGGAAGAGGAATTTCTAATGGCCAGTTACAAGACTTATGTCTGCATACCAGAAAACTACCAGCTGATTCTGACCATGTCTAACTGCAAGCAGTTGGAAATGCCTTTTAGAGTTTTGGATTGCCAATGAACAAAATCCTATGCCTTTCTTAAGAAATGGTGCAGTCATCTTTTCTTACAGAATTTCTTCCTTCACCTGACAGAAACATGCTGCTTGCCACCAAAACCAATACATTCCTACTTCACAAAATAGCAAAGGAGAAAAGTTTTACAAACCATCTCTATAGTGTAAAGAATCACCATTACTGGAACAGATCTAGCTTCAAAGTAGGCTTTTCTTTCTGTGGGGGTGAGGGTCAACTAAGTGACCCCCAGAAGTCCCTTCTAACCAAAAGTAACCTTTGATTGTAAATTTGTTGTTCAAATTAGCTTCTGTATCCTTTGTAATTATCTGACTTTTCTTATACTCTGATGAAAGCATGGCCTGAAAGTATAGCCCCAGAACAATGACTGCCATCTGGTTTGACAAGACATCCTGGTTTTCCTCAGCATGTTGTCAATTGTACCCTGAAATGCTGTTTTGTAGCCAGTACACTGTAGTATTTCACTCAACTTCAATATGCAGCCATATGGTAAATAGTAGCTGACACAGGTTAAGTGCACCATGCGAACATTGTTAAAAGCTGACTTGAAAAAAAACATTAATTGAGTTCAGCTCTATTTACTTTTGGGTTTTGTGTTTACTGCCCTTTTTCTGCAGCTGAGGTTTGTTTACTCACAACCCTCTTTCCTTAATGGGCTTTTCCAAGTGAGAAGTAGAATCTCTTTCATGCAAAGTCTCGGTTAGAAACTACTTGACATAAGGAAATAAAACAAACCATAGTCAGTAGAAATTTGAAGAGTAGGTATAAGTGCATTCCTTACATACATGTGTTTTTCAAGCAGTGGGGCAAGATGATTACATGACTTTCAGCTGGCGAAGACAGGGCTTTCTGCGGTTGGGTGGGCAGTCTATCGAGTCAGAAATGGAGTCCTAATTGCAATGGAAATGTTGCTAGCAAGAAGGTTGCTGTGCTACTGGATGACTGCATTTGTGTATGGAATCCACTTTTTTTTCAGGTAAGATGATGAACATACTCTTCCCAGATCTAAAATAGACAACTGTCAGTCTTAACAATGCTCCAGCTCAGCAACAGCTATACCAAAATGCTAAGTTGACAAACAGTGAAATAACTCTTTCCACCTTGTATTTATGGAGTAGTAAAGTAAAACCTGGCAGAACAAAGAAGCCAGATATCAGTGAAGAGACATATAAACCTGAGGATGTCGCTGAGAAAGGAGAAGCTTTTGGTGGGAAAAGGGAACAGGTGGTCAACAACATTTGTTTCAAAAGGGACCCAGAATTTTTGTGAGAATAGTAAAGTCAGATGAAGCACTGTGTGCTCAAAGAATTTCCTAGTTCGTATAAGAAGCCATGAACTGCTGAGGGATCCTTTGCTACATCCCCAAAATATTGCAACCCTAGTCCAGGGAGCTGTCTCAGACTGGTGAGAAAACTGAGGCAGCAAGACAGCTGTAAGTTTATTAAGCAAAAGCAACATATTTAGACCTCCACGCAAACAAAGACTTTGATTTTCTGTATGTTCGTCATGCATAGACCTCATGCTCCTAA